TATGATAGGCCGAAATGAGCCTGTTGCAAACTTCGGATAGAGCGAGGAGAAGTGTTGTTTCTCATGGGGAATGGTTAAAAAGTCGGCTAAAAGATTAGCGCATTTGATTAGCGCAAAGTCTGAGATACACACCTAACTTCACTATTTGCGTTAAAAATATGCGTTTTTTATGAACAGTCCCTTTAGCAATTTTGTATTGCCGAGGGAATGTTGCATGACCCACATCCGGAGATTTAAAAGCACAAGAGGGTAATATGACACTTCTTTATTTCGGTGGTTATGCAATGGGCCTGTTGCATGCAAGAGATACAGCCGCGCGAATAGACTTTTTAGAGGTTAAATGACACGAAAATTACGATGGTCACATTAAAAAAGTCTGAAATACACTCCTTACTGCGCAATTTGCGTTGTTAGGAACGCGCTTTTTCAAATTTCCCGCGTCTGGGGGCAGTTTTCTAATCACTGGAAACGAGCAAACGGCGGGCTCGGTGATTTCCGGAAGATGCCGAGTTGTTGTTGTTGTTATTTTTTCCTTCAGTTTGTTTACAAACCCAACGTGATCTCCTATAGTGGTCCGTATACGCTTTATGCGGTAACCAAATCGATCAACTTTTTATCCAACGCAATCCTTGTACATTTCATTTCACGATGTCACGAGCTCCGATTTTTAGGTTATGTTGTCAGTTTTAGTTGACCGGAAATAGCCGCGAGTTGCCGTTAATTGTTTCCGTTAGAAAACTGCCCCCAGACGCGGGAAATTTGAAAAAACGCGTTCCTAACAACACAATTTGCGCAGTAAGGAGTGTATGTCAGACTTTTTTAATGTGACCATCGTAATTTTCGTGTCATTTAACCTCTAAAAAGTCTATTCGCACGGCTGTATCTCTTGCATGCAACAGGCCCATTCGAGCTGTATGAAAGTCGAAATAGTTGTATCATGATCCTTGTTATTTTGGCGTTTATGAAACTGTTAGATGCTGGAGATGTAAAAATATGATAAAAAGCGTTCTCGTCAAGGACTGGACTCATTTTTAAGAATAACAAGATCTTTAAACCCCTGGACTCGATTCGCCCGTTCAGGCCGGGCATCATCAGCGACTCCGGGGTTTTAAGATCTTCTTCTTTTCAACAATGAGTCCAGTCCTTGACGCAAACGCTTTGTATCGTATTCCTTACATCTCCAGCTTCCAACAGTTTCATAAACGCCAAAATAACAAGGATCATGATACAACTATTTTGATTTTCATATAGCTCGAATTGCATAACCACCAAAATAAAGAAGTGTCCAATTACCCTCTCGTGCTTTTAAATCTCTGGATGGGGGTCATGCAACATTCCCTCAGCACAACAAAATTGCTAAAGGGACCGTTTCAACAAAACGCATATTCTTAACGCAAATAGTGAAGTTAGGTGTGTATTTCAGACTTTTCAAATGCGCTCATCTTTTAGCCGACTATTTAACCATTCTCCGTGAGATACAACACTTCTCCTTGCTCTATCCGAAGTTGGCAACAGGCTCATTTTGGCCTATCATAATGGAGTATTTTCAAAAATTAAAACATGCCCAGTGGACGTGCATCTCGTAGCGAAAAGAATCAGCTCTGCTTCTATCCCTTGGGACTCGTCCACGAGTCCTTCCCTCGCTTTCCTGAACGAAGCGCCGCACGGTGGATCGAGTCAATTGGAGGGGTCGGTCTTGAATTTTTTGACTAAAACTGCAAATTTTGATGTTCATTTCGTCACATTTTTTAATTTAACGGTCACTTCTGAAAGAAAATTTCACGAGAAAACCTATGGAGCCACTTTTAGGACCTCGAAGTTTTGTATGAACGGATCGAGTTATAAGCGTTTAAAGTTTCCAAATTTCGTCCGAACCCTCGTATTGACTCGATCCACTGTGCGCTGGGCGAAAAAATATTTTTGTTATCATTATTTTATGTACCAACCATTCTCTCCTTCAAATTTCTCGTTCAGGGAGGCAAACTTTCACCTTAATGACGCCCTGGCTCGTCTCTTGGAGTGAGTGTTCCATGGTAACGATTCTATTTTTTAAACTCACCCGGGAGAACCTGAATGGAACGAGTGCAATTTATCCCGATCATTATCCGTCTTTTCACGACTCCCGCAGAAACCCGTGAATGCGTCGAATTTCTCCGAGTCCGAACTTTAAAAAGGTTCGGAAGCTCAATCAATGCAGTTGTTAAAACCTAAGAAGCTTTTCAGTATAAAAAAGGGGCGAATAAAGAAGAAAAATTAAAAAGATTCTCATTCCTTTTTGCCGATCGAGAGGCAGCTGCAGTTGATCCGTTGACACTGAAAAATTCCTCCTCCTTTTCCTCTCCCTTAAAAAAAGGAAGTATTCCTGAGGGGAAATTGATATCGGTGGAGTGGCGTGCTTTGCGATACATCGATTGATCTACCATTTGAACCTTTGAAAAAGGATCGATAAACGGGGTGTTCGCAATGAACACTTTCATAATCGATTCTTTACCATGGTTTCAAATGGAGAAAATGCCGATAATCGACCATTTACGCTTCGTCACTGATTGATAGCTAGGAGAAAAAACTGACGCTTCAAAATCGTGCCCTTCCGCAAGTATGCTCGCGTTGAGAGGGTGCATTTTCGCGGTCATGCAGGGTTATTAATTTTTATACTTTCTCGTTGCATAATTAATGGTTTTCATCCGCTGAGGAAATTGCAACTCTTTGGAAAAAATTAAAGTGATTTTTAAATGAAAAGCTTCTGCTTTGAAGTGGGTTCCGTGTGGTTATTGCTAATTTGTAAGGAATCTAACAATGCAGCACGTGCAAAAAAGGAGGTTTTGCAAATGGAGAATTTGCACGCACATTTTTTATTGCTTCGCATGTGAAAGTGCCTAAAGAGCTGATTTTGCAGTATTTTTTATACAATTTTTTTGCTGTGGGAAATCGTATAAAAATGGATTTAAAAGTGAGAAAATTCACCGTCAAGTGACGTCATCTGGCGAAATTTCCCATTTAAACACATGTATTTTAGCAGATTGGGTTATTTTGTCATATATCTCCTCCAATAATTGTTCAATTTACGAACCAAGGGTATCTTCTTGTGCAGCTCACTTGGTAACGTCCTTTTAAACACGGCAGAATTCATTAAATTTCAGACACCCGCAAATTCTCCATTGGTGAATGACTTCGCCACTCACTATATTGCCATTAAATCTTGTCACCCGTAAAACGCGCCGCAAAGCGATCGATATCAAAACAGTCCGTATGGACGGTGAAACTTCAAAACCGTGGATCTCGATTTGCGACGTGCAGACTTCCTGTCATACTTTATTTTTTCAATGGAATACAATTCAACGGCAATTTTTAAAAACTACCGTGATTTTTCTTCTCTGCGCGGAGACAATTCTGTCAGAACTTCGTGAATGGTATAGATTTTGTTTGTAAACGGATTGTTGAGGTGGGGAAAGTCTAAAACACTGCAAACGAGATACGTGTTTTGGTAGTTTCACCATCGATATGTTCTGGGTTGAATCATCAAACGCATCGAACAACAGTGTCACTGAATCAATTTATGCGCCATCCTCATTCCTCATAGGTGATTTTTGCAAGATGAGTACATTGTTTTTCTTTCAATTTATCCATCATTCACCTTGAACATCTTAAAGTACTTTAAGCTCGAACTTTAAAACTTTAAAAATGGAAAAATGCCAGCTTCCGGAGGATCTCTACCATGACAGATTCTTGTAGCGGGTAGGCGTTGCAGAGCGCCCTAGCGCGCCGAAAAAGCGGCTCATACATACATATATACATTCACCTTGAACGTACGAGTACCTTGAAGCATACCGGATTTGAATCGGTCATTCTCTAAATGATTTAAGCGCCAAAAATGGATCTACGAGGAAAGCCTTAATCCCCATCTTAAATGACCCTTACCTCAGAGCTTTGAAATATTAAAGCAATGAATTAATTCATGACATTTTAAATTATTCTGCGACTTAAACATGGCGTTCAATGCGGTTTCTGCTGATTTTCTTGTATTTTCATATTTGGCGCTCAAGTCTTTTTGAGAATGACGGTTCAATTCGTCGCTTGGCTGACATAAGGGCGTAACTACACATTGAGATGAGCCTGGAAAAGCATTGAATTGTGTGGAAGACACGGTTCATTGCAGAGTGTAGTTACGCCTCTATGTCAGGAAGGTGACGAATTATACCTCGGAGCATATCCTTGAACAGCAATGCCTAAATTCCTGTTGCTATCGTAACAGTTATTCGGAAGTACATTAATTAAACTGCATTTTGAAATTAGGAGCTATGAATTCTGTCACATCTGAAAAAAACTCGCATGTTCATTGGGAAACTAACGGGACATACGTTTTTTTAAACCGAGCCGGAATTTATAGTTCCTAATTGCAAAATGTATTCCAATGGAGTTGTTGTATGTGTGAGGAATTGGCGATTTGACCACTGATTTTTATGTAAAAGTTCGCGAGAAACACGATGGTGCTACTGGTTTTCTCTGAAATTAACTCCCAAGCTCAAAAAAAAACTCTCAAGTCGAGGCCAAAATGGAGGGGATATCCCACGCTATCCTGAGAGTCCCCATCTACATCAAGACAAACTCTCTATGCAAAGATAAGGAGGAAATACATTAGCAGTGATGCCGTGTTTTCAGTTTTAGAGTCCCGAAATAAAGGGCAGCCCTTGTCAATGAATTTGCTCCCTATCTTTGCATGGAGAGTTCATCTTGATGTTTCAGGATAGCGTGGGATATCCCCTCCATTTTGGCCTCAACTTGAGAGCTCTTTTTGAGCTTGGGAGTTAATGTCAGAGAAAACCAGTGGCACCATCGTATTTCTCGCAAACTTTTACATAAGAATCAACAGTTAAATCGCAAATTCCTCACACACGCAACATCTCCAATTATGACATCTTCTGTTTTGGTATTTTTTCTATACTCCTTATACAAAAAATGTGTGCTCAATCAGTGATCACCTCTTTCCTTTTTGTTTCCAGATGTGCTCCTGAATGCATGACCGACGAGCTATGCTCTTCGATGTTCTCAGAAACGCTGATTCGGGCACTAATCATCAGTGTTCAAGTAGGATGCATGTGTTTTACAGTTATCGTAGCAATAATCATCTTCAAGAAGCGAAAATGCAAGGTAAATCTCCTATTAAATTTTATTTGTACCGACACGGAGAAAAAAAAAAAAACACGGTTATTCGACGGTTACCACGGTAATAATGTCACACGAGATTCCACGGTAGTGGAACAGTGGATTTTGGTAATTTTATTCATCAGCACAGTAGCATAACCATGGTCATGATAGTATGTCTGTGCCCACAGTAATATTACCGTGAACACGGTCATATCACCGTGCTCATCGTTACAAGAATCAAAATCCACGATTCTACTACCGTGGAATCCCGTGTGACATTACTACCGTTGTAACGGTAGAGTAACTGTGTTTTTTTTTCTTTTTTTCAAAATACATGTATTTTATGAATTTTTCAGTTGCAGAGACATTGTTCGCTCATTAAATATGACAATTAGTCTCGTTTTAGTTTTTGTTTGATTTGGAACATTTTACTCAAAAAATGTCAAATGTGTGTCCAAGAGATGATATTAGACATTTATATCGAGGGTTTCGAGCAAAATTTCCACCAAAACTTGAAGAATAAAAATCCCCCAAGGGTTATCAAAGTATTCTGACCCTCGCTAAGCATTTTAAAGTTTCCCCCAGCTACTACTCTGGCGTGCTAAGAAAAAACGCCGTATGACCATTCAAGAGTTGCCAAATTTCCTCCGATGAAATGTTTACTTTTAAGGAAAGTTATGAATTTTTTCCTTACAAATTCCAAAAATTTACGGATAAAAACGGATATATATATGATCTGAAACTTATGAAACTGACTACCTGTCATGCTTTTCTATACATCGATAAATCTAGTCCAGAAACGGCTGTGCAGTGTGCATGGGTATTATCTAGTGGGATATAAGCCAATAAACTAGAAAAAAGTCGGTTCAGTCTATACAGTTTTTTTTATTCTTTTATTTTTTTTTTTATGTATCTATAAACATATACATATATTGCCCTCAATACCTCATTATGGATCACAATTGGGGCACTTTTACTCGTCTTAGTAACTTAACAACAGAGTTATCATGAAAGTAACCTTGATCAATCGTTAGCTCCCCTATAAAGGCGAGAAAACTTATTAATAAACCTACAATGAGACCAATGAAGGCTGACTGTAGATCATTCAAATTGTACACCCTAGGCTCACTTTCATCCTTCATTTCAAAGAAATGAACAGCATCCATGAAATAATCCGGTAAATTATCCAACAATTTTTTAGCATGTCCGCCTTCCAACAAACGAGCGTAAACACGATTGAGCTCATCAAAAAATAACGAGTTCCTCAGGATTTGGAAGATTATCGGGTACGTCAGAAAGCATTCTCTTACCAAGTGGTATTCTTTTGCTGTACGTAGGAAAACATTGTCTATGGTGACACTCTCTCTTGGGTTTGATGTGAAAGGTATTGTTAACAGCAGAGCGTCAGTTGCCATTATCGAACGCATGTTGTTTGAAACATGTTCATTGGCCGCAAAAAGGTCCCGAACATCAGTAGACGTCGAGGCATTCGTCGGTTCCTGATCAGACGAGTTTTGCTGTGAGTAGAGAAAAATCTCGGCAGCAATATCGAACCAGTAGAATTCATAATTGGGCTCTAGTTTTCTTCGCAATGATTCAGACATGTTTTGAAAACAAGCTCCACCCTTTGCAACGCCTCCTTCACCCGGCAGCAATTGAATGAAAAGATCGGATTCCTCCAAAGTCTTCAAAGAGTTAATTTCTGGGTATTGGACTCGTTCACTCAGCAATGTTGTCATACTACCCAGGAACGCTGTAGAAATTATGATTGTGGAGAAACTGAATATTGAGAAAAGGATTTTTCCCGTCAGTAGTCGGCCCAAGTTAAGAAAGGGCGGACTTCCGCAAACGAAATACGCGTAGATGGTCAATATCGATGTGTGCCTCTGATATGATCTTTTTGTGCTTCGGAGTAGAGGAAACCAAGCGATGCACACTGCGTGTACTGGAAAGCACATTGAATCAAGATAAAAGTAGAAATCGTAATTAAAGTCAAAATCCACACGATTGGTGTGAAACTTTTGAAAATTACAAGCCCTTGAGGCATGAAGCCACTGTGAGGCGTTGCGAAGCATAGGGCGCCGGTATCAATGCTCATCAAATAATCAACGCGCGGGTTATCAGATTCCCCTAAAATAATTGCATCTCCAAATAAATACAAATCTATGCCATATTTTAAGCCATCCTCTACATCAAAGTTATACAGCTTGATTTTCTTTGGGTCTATCAAATGTTCGATTATGCTGCAGTTAACGGAGGAACCAAAGTGTTTAACAGCCATTTCGTGTAACGAAAACCATATCGGAGAGAACCCCGGCAGGAGAGATGAATGTGTATCATCAGTGTTATAATAATCATAGAACACTTTCACCGGTTTCCCATGCATATCATTCCAAGAGAAGTCGAAAAAATTCTCATCAGTCTCACTCTGGAGTGAAATCAGGTTTTCTGTGAAAGAATCATACTTCTCACAACCTTGTGGATGACAGATAATCGCTTTCCGACCTTTGAAGAAGCGCCAGAAGAACTTGAAGCAAAAAGCTATTCTTCCATGTATATCTTGTGAATACTTACTGATCGCTTGCCTCTCGAAGTTTTGATCTTTCAAGGTCTGCAGAGGAAAATGTTCCGACGTATTTTGTTGGTGGGCGTTTTTCAAGAAGAAAATCAAATGATTTTTAGAGTTCCAAATTTTGTTGACGTACAGACCCTGAGTTGCATTAAAAACTTGGTCACTTAAAATGGAGCCGTCTTCCAATTCTGCAGATTTTATTTCTATTATTTTACTGCAATTTTGGCTCTCCTCAACCCAAAGAAAACGCTTATCAATTTTAAGGCAGTAGCGAGGTAAGATCTCGGCTGAATGATTTAGACTATCTGTTTGGTTACATTCGGCATGTACGGACTTTTTACAGTTTAAGTCAAACGGTTCTGGTTCAGCAATTGTATGAAAAATCAAACTGAACAATTCATTCATATCATTGACGATGAATATGAAATTCTTGCTCTGATGGGTGAACACTGAGCTTGTCACTTTGCTGTGGTGGGAAATCACAATAGTTTGAATGGCCGCCGCATGTAAAAGTTGCACAAAATGCATAAAAAGAGGATCTGAATTGAGCTCTACCGTGTAAAACAACGTTTGCTCTGATTTTTTAACGACGCTCTGACATACGCTGAAAGCAAAAGAACTAGGAGACTCCCATTTATCGCTCGTGGTATGTTGAATATTAAAACAACTATGCAAACCGAATGCCATCAAGAATGTAAAATGAAAAATCACCCGAAAAAACTTAATCATCGTCACTGATTGATTGAATGATAGACTTACCCCTTTAAGGCTTTGATATTGAAATTCGATTCAGTAAGGTTCATCTCCTGTTAACTGAATAAGCTCATTTAGTTTCCATCATGCGCTCATATTTGGACGTATTTCTGCCAAACGGAACTATGTGCATTAAGACATGAGCCCTGAGACCCATAAGAATATAGGTATGCATGACAGGGCTCACGTTATAATGCACATAGTTCCGTTTGACAGATATACATCCATTTGATATCTAAATTAAATTGCGGTCATTTAACATTGAAAAACTCCAAAAAATTGTTCTGAATAACATGAGCTATATAGGAGCAGACTGTACCTTTACAAATAATTCATAATGGGTAAATATTACTGAGTTTTCGAGTAATGTTAAGTTGCTGCCTTCTCCTTTAATTTTAAGTCTTTCAGATTTGAATTACACTGCATTTTATAAAATAGAGTTTATGAAGAATTAAGCATTCAAATATTTGCGCGATGGAAAAGTTTCCTCTCAAGCTTTTTAAAACTCACTGTTTTTTTATAACACGGTGTATACTAAACGACAATAAGCATTCTAAGAACTGCGCAGTGAGAACACCTTTCTTGGGATTAAACTTTTATCCCCTTCCCTCTCAAAGAGAAACTGAAAAATGCTTTTTACAAAGCATTTTGTTGGTTTATAGCTTGAAAAAGAACAAATACGTTGCTTGTCTTACTTACATAAAATTTGGTACAGTTGGTCTAAATAACAGCATGAGGTACGCGGTAGCCGAATGTGTCTTAGATACTGCTCCACAATGAGAAAATCAATGCCACCAAAAGTTTCGTTTTTTCAATGTTATGTCGCTCAATAAATTAGTGACTCTCTGTATACTTTTAAAGACGATGTAGGTATGAAACAAAAAACATTCTAAGAACTGAGATGAGAGAATACGTAATTCAGAATTAAAATTTGATATTTTTCTTTCGGAAAAAAACTGAAAAATGCGCGAGGCAAAACAATTTGTTTGCTGTGAAGCTTGAAAAACAACAAACACGTTACTTGTTGTAAACTTGAAAAGAAGCAAAGCTACATGTTGTTTTTCAGCCTTCTCCGATGGATTGAATGAATGCAATCTTGACGAAAGAAGGTTATAGTCAGTGAGCCTTGAATCCCATAAACACACGTGATACCAAGGCATCAGCGAATATTCGAAGAGTTTTGTTGCCGTATTTTTAAATCTAATCAGTACGGCAATGAGAGAGGTTTCCACGTGCAGTTCAAAAAGTTTTTGCTTGTCGAAAAGCCACGCGTAAGCATGAGTTGACCTACATTTTGCAATTAGGAGCTACCATTTTCTGTTCATTTTCAGAACGACCTCCTACAGTTTCCTCATACAGAGAGGAGTTTTACGGTTGGGGTAGAAATAATAATTCCTTATTGCACGGTGTGCTACTATGTCACGAGAAGAGTTAGTATTTCAAAAGGAAAATGTGACGATTTACTTTTCTAGAATGACTCTGAATTATTTTTTTGATTATGAAATAAGTATAGGAAAACAACAAAATATTCATTCTTGCAAGGCATCGATGACTGAATTTATCTATCAAAGTCTCATCGTGTGAAATGATTTGATTGAATTTTCGAGAATCTCTAGAGTTAGGGGTGTTCTTTGCGAACGCCCTGCATATCGATCCTTTTCCTTTGATTTAAATGGCA